TGGTTAAATACAATGTGCAGTAGCAAAGCCACTAGGTGGCACTGAAGGTCCATTAAAGTGAAGCCAACCTGTGGTAACCTCAGGTATTAGAAGCTACTCTGTCAATATTTGATATGAAATTTAGTAATCTTCCTGTCCTTGCAATGTTTTTTACCTTCAGGACAAAGAAAACAAAGGTATAGATGTCTGATTAAAATGACACTTCAGGTTTTAATACAAACTTACCGTTGACAGTTTCTCAATGTCTTCATCTGTAGCTCCAAGCGAGGCGAGTCCAATCTCCTGAAATTGTTCAAATGAGTCAGTATTAAAGGTAATTAAACTAGATTACACTCTGATTAGGCCAAATCCAAGAACATATAGTGCAGCACAGCACGGTTACCTGTGAAAATTGGGCGAATTCTTTATCTGCCAGCATGGGAATATGGCCGAGCAGTTCGTGACAGCAGTCTCTGTCGGAGTAGATTGAACCGAGTCAATACAAGAAAAAAGCAGCTGAATACATAAATACTTAAGTTGAAATAAAAACACAGATGACTTACGGCTCGGGGGAGTGCATGGGAGCAGAGGAGTGACGGATGTACTGTGTGCACTGAAACACCCTGAAGGCCAAACTGTTGAGGAAGTCTCTGGCTGACAGCAGGCCGGCTACTGGACGCAGCTGGAAACCAGTTTTCTCTGAAAGGAGCAGAGATGCTATCAAACACACTGTGATGGAGCTCAAAGGAAGTCGAACCAATAGACAGCGGTGGAAAGTAACTAAGTACATTTTTAGGTACTTTACTTGAGAGGGAAATATCAGACTGCTCAAGGGAAATTTCAGATTAAAACTTTCTATAAAATAACACATAATAATCTTATAATTTACAAAGGTTAAGTCAGTGGTTCCCATCAGTTTTACTTGTGACCTCTTACAAAAACACGTTTCAGGAAGCTATGAGTTATTAAAGTTGGTAACCACTGGACTAAATGGATATACCATAAAACTTCCCAGGCTTTTATTTGCCTCAATCACTGAACTCTGCAGGCATCTGTATTCCTTTTGCACAAAACTCTTGCTCAGCGAAGATGGGAAATACTATGAATTAATTAATTTGATACTTTTAATGTTTAACTTTAACGATTAAATTGTGGAGAATCTAACTGATCTAAAGATGGTTAGTTTTAAACCTTTATATATACTTTAAATGGTTTAAACATTTCTATTTGTGTAGGCGATCTATGCAGCATAGAACTTGCTCAAGTGGGCGACCTGGTGGGCTTTGGTTTTATATATCCAAAGAGTTAGATGTAAAATATCTCTCAAAACATGTAGCTACACCAGCCTAGTTAAGGGAACCTGCTTCTAATTTTTCATTTGTCAAACTCTGTCTCCATTTGTGCTTCTTTCGATTTAACTTTATCTATCGCTGTCATTTTTTGGGCCGTTACCAACCTCCAATTTATTATCTCTGTCTTCTTTTATGATAGAAGAAATCTCCTCATGCTATTAAACATATGTCTTTTATCTTAAAGGAATCTTAAATCTACTTTTGTGTTTTTACTGTTACACTTTAAAGACCAAAATCTCTCATAATTGAACTTTTTCGAACTGTTTTGGGGCTTATAGTGACTTATAATAGCAGAAATATCCGTTTATTCTAATTGTTCAGTCTTTGTCACCTTTCAGGAAGGCAGAAACCTCTCTGAGCTGGGGGATGCGGTCCTCTCCGTAGCCACACTCTTTCTCCAGCTGCTGCAGCCCGTCTAGGAACTGCCTGCAGGCCAGACCGGGGTAGATACTCCGCAGCTGCCGGTAAACCTCCCTCCTTTTTAACAACAACAACACCATCACATCATTACACTTTCATCACCCTTTCACCTTCATCTATAACGTGCAGGACCGTGCAGCTCATTCTCACCATGTGGACACTTCCTCTGCTGTGTACTCCACAGTGGGCAACGGGTCCCCCCTGTGACAAAGAGAGTTGATTTAAGAGAGAATATTTGAATGATACTCAGTGCTTAATGAAAATATATTGACTTTTTTTTTTTTTTTAAATATCTGACTCACTGTTTGTATCTGAAGGCAAGCTCGGAGATGAAAGCCCGTCTTTTTCTGTATTCTGGATCGCTGTATCCCTGCAGAAAAAGATGTTAAATGACCATATATAAGCTTTATTTATGTCTGATAAACATAATATAATAATAATACAATGTGACATATTTTGCAGTAAACACTCACTGGATGCTCCTGGTCCATATCCGGATCAAATTTGGTTATTAACATGTTGCATCTGTCGAGGTCTTTTATCTGTCGGGGAAACCAGGGAACTATGATGGGAGAAGAACATAATTAATTAGTGCTTTTGTAATTGGTTGCATGTTATTATCATATGGTAACATTACCAAAAAAACTTAAAGGAGCATTTAGCAATTTAATAACATGCCATATGATGTCCTAATATGAACAAACCTCACTAGAAATGTTATAGAATGATTTTAAAAAAAGCATGATGGGCAATTATAAAAGGAAGTAGTTGCCTTTTTCCTCCGGTATCGAGCGAACGTCGTCAGCGACTCTCTTCAGTGAGTTGATGAAAACGTCGAGGTCGGAGCTGTGAACTTCACACTTCATGAAGAACTCCAGATCTGTTGTGCTGTTCTTTGACTTCCTCCCCGGTCGACTCTCGATGTGGAGAAGTTTCGCTTCAAACGTCTATGAGGGGAGGAAAAAAAGTGTTAAAACAAATACAAGAGAGGAGGAAAAAAATCACCCTTTATGTTCTTTTCTTTTGCTTTGAGTTTAGTTTTTGTTGTTATTTCCAAATAAATTAACATATTAGTTCATTAGTTCATTTCTCCTTTACTAAATAATAACTCAAAAGGTCTTAAAAGGACTAAATTCTATATTATTAATGTTTTTTTTAAGCTGTTTCAGGTTTCAATAAACTTTGAAAATAGAATTATGATCAGTTAAGATACAAATTGTTATTTACAGGATTTATTCTTTTATTAAATGTAGATATTATTGGGCTCTTAGCTGTGGTGAAAAATAACTACTATAATTTTGACGTGCTTTACTTTTACTTTTACCACATTTCAGAGGAAATATTGTTGTTACTGGTTATATGTCAGATCACAAGTCTTTTAAACAGACAACAAAAGATGTTTTCTGTGGTTTATAGACTGACTAGACTCTGTGTATTCACCCCTAGGGATCAATAAAGCCTTATCTTAATCCATAATATTAAATCATAATGTATTTGTTGAATATAGTTTTGTATAATTAATCTGAATCTGCAAATAGATGTAATAAAAAAGTACAATATATGCCTCTGAATTGCAGTGGAGTACAGGTATACAGTAGCAGAAAATGGAAATACTTAAAGTATATAGTTAGTTATATACTGAATAGTTGTTATTGCAACCCAAATATAACAGAAAATACAATTTAATGTAAGCATCAATAATAAGAATACAACAGTAACACACACAGGGCTCATTTTTCTGCATAATGAGTTCATTTAACCTCAACCTCAACTCCAGTTAAAGATAAATGCAGCATGTATTTGAGGCTTACCTCGAATATTTTCCCCGTTTTGAAGAAGCCCGCGTTTTTCTCATTGCTGAGCGTGAACAGGACGTTCACGGTGACCCTGCCGTGCTTCTCCTCGAACACGAAGCCGTCTCCGTACCTGGAGGGCCCCGGAGAGCCCGCGGAGCCGCTGCTGCGCTCCCTGCGAGCGTCCTCGATCAGACTCTGCTTCCTCCCGCTGAACGGCGCCGCCTGCGCCGCACTGTCCGTCTTCATCTGCGCGGTGTTACCGGAGCCAACGGGAAGCCTGTGTGTGTGCGTGTGTGTGTGCGTGTGTACGTGTTTCACCATCACCTCTGTGCACAGGTTTAAATAGCCTCCATCATCTGAGGGCTTTATGGAGATGTGTTGCGCAAGTATGGCACGTGCGTTTGGCGCTTTTTAGGCCTGTTTTGCGTCATGATATTACATCTATTTATGGGACAAAACATGGTGCTGTTAGGAGGGGGAAATAGCCAACTCTACAATAAATCAATCAATCACAGATGCATTCAAAAAAAATCAGGTCATCATAGGTTACATAATCCACATTATCATATATAAAAGGGAAAAATTAAGTTTTATAGGATTTGTGGAGGTTAAAAGTGCTTAGTTAGTTTATTAATTATTACTAAAACACCACACTGGTAACATTAAAGGTCTTTTTAAGACAATATCTGACAGCAAAAAAGTGTTTTATTAATGTAATATGTATTTTATCCCTCATTTATAAGCATAATGCAGCTGTAAGCAGCTATAGACATTTTTAAACATTTATTAATGTGTCATCCATCACTGAATGCTGGCATATAAACAGTTAATGAATGACTATGTAATTGAACTCATTTGTAATTATATAATCTTAATTATTTTAATTCTTGACTAAGACAGTGCATCAATAAACACTTTAAATGTCCTTACATCTGCCTACAACTATATTATAATGTGTTATAAACCATTTATTTAATGTTTATATACTGCCTCTACATGGTTAATCAAAGATAAACGCCTCATAATTCCTATATATAACTTTAATTAGTGTTATTATTAGTAGTAGTAGTATTAATATGTCTTTAACTTTGTCTCAATTGTTTATTTAATGTTATTTATTTTACTCTAAGTTTATTTAACTTACTTTGATTTCTCTAGTATTATGTTGTAAATGGCTGAAACCTTTCTTTACACACCCCTATTTAGCATTTATAAGCAACTGTATGGTATTTGTAAGCAGATACAAGGACGTTTTTAAGTGTTTATTCATGTGCAAGTATAACATAATTTTATATTATTTCATCTGTGTTTTACTATATTATCATTCATTATCTGTTCATACCTCAGCCTGTCTACATGATGAGTTAAAGATGATTACAAACACATGGATAAATACTTAATAAAAAATAGTAGTCGATATGTGAGAAATAATTAGCAATATGAACGACAGGAGGAAAGAAGAGAAACATTTATTTCTTTTCATTAAAATCTTTCATGCATATACAAAACATTTCATTCAGCCGAGCACAATGAAAGCTAGTAACAAAAATTATCTCTCGGTGTGCCTTAAGGTTAAATGCATAGAAAAAAAACTGATTATTTCAGCTGTTTTGCATCACGTTAAAAGCAATTTGATGTTTACATATTGGATTTTAAATTCATTAAAGTCACTTATTCTCTTATTTTGAAAAACTCTTAATAACATAATAATATGGACAGTAACATTCCTTATTCCTTGTTATCCTACATAGGTAACTACACTTTATTCACTTAACTAAAATAATAATTGGATTACAGTAATATTGTTGTTATTTGACTTTGCATATTTGTTTTAATACAGAGAAAGCTCATTTGTGCGCATGCTAAGCAGAACCGCAAGCTGACAGTTTCATTGAGGAAATGAAGAGAGTTTTTCGGCTCGATTTCGTGTGCTGAAAAGTTACTGAAGTTTCCGCAGGGCTTCGCACAATTTCCCCACTTCACCTGAAATAAGAGGAAAAACAAAATGAATAAACAGAATAAAATAAAACAAACCTAAAACTAGATGTCTGTATGAACCAGAGCAACCTAAAACTACTCTATTCACTCTTTGCTTCGACTACATACTATTGATGCTGTCAGCCAGGTTCCTGAGCTGCTGGGTGTTGTCCAGCACTTCAATGCTCTGGGTGTAGGGATTGTAGCGCACTGTGAAAGGCCTGGGGATGGTGGATGCAAATTTCCTGTAGGGCAGAGAGACGTTACTGTGAGACAAATTCTGTATAAAGTTACTGTATATGTGCAGGAAAGCACGAACCGCTTCCTTACCGGACTTTCTCTTTACCGTCCTCAAAGCTCTCAGCGACAAAGTAAATGGGCTGGTACTCTGTGATTGGGTATTTCTGGAGGCTGGTCTTGTCGGGGTCAAAAGGCTGGAGATTGGGCTTGTCTGTCAAGCAGTACTGAAAGAAAATAAATGTATCAATGAGTGTCTCTATTCCCATCATAACCATGGGTAAACAGGAAGTGCAGCATGATTCAGGTCTTTGTTGATGTGACTTGGCAGAGTGGACATCCTCTGCAGACAGACGCTGATGTAACTTGTGACCTCAATAGCGAGCGGCTCATCCTCTTTCTGCTCCCACTGAACCACTTTTCCCTGCACCCCAGTGGGCAGAGAGGCCGACTCCCCCAGTGACCCATTAAACCTGAACCCGAGTGGACCACTAACCCACTGCCTGCACCGCTGCTGTTGTGCAACGGGGGTGAGCGTGTTATAACAACAGATGGAGGGGGTCAGCGGGACGTAGGAAAGCACAGAAAGCCAACTATTTATCTTGCTGCTGCGGGGGTCCGCGAGTTGTGCGATGTACAGATTTGTTTTTATCAGGTTTTCTTGGACCCTATGACTCAAACACACGTGTTGCCCCCCCCTTACCTGCAGCTCTCCGAACGATGAAAGCAGGCCAGCTCCATATGCTTTGATCTCTGAGCCCTGCTTACAAAGGCCAAACTCCACAGTGAACCAGTACACCTGAGGACACACACATGTTTCATAAAAATATGATCTATACACCAAACTCCAGGCAAGAAGTTACAAAAACAAGGGCACTGATCTAGAGGTGATCAGCGGGGGTTCTTTGAAACCCACAAACCCCAGAGATCCCTGAGATTGAAAGGGTCAGTTTACCTAAATCACATTTATGATTGTGGGTTTGCTCGTGTTTTGAGATATTTACGCTATCGCTCCAATACAATTTCATTTCTGCTGCTCACAACAATGAAAACTGACATTAGCAACAAGTCTTTCCAGGTAATCTACAGAACATGCCCTCCATGCACCTTTATTTGATCGTAGAGATAAAAAGACAACATGAGGAGAAAGAGGGATAAGCCTTCCAACCGAAGTCCCATGGCCTGGAGTCGAACTGTGGATATTGCTGTTACTTTATAGTTGCCGCTGGGGCTCAAACCAGCTAGCCGCCCTGCTATACATTGCATCTGTTGCATTGCTTATCCCTGTCTAACAATGTTTATCTTATGGTTTAGAGGTTTAGAAGCAGTTGATCTAAATCAAGTAGAATTAGAAGCTGCCTCTTGCAGAGTAGTTCTTCTAATATTATTGATCCTCATGTACTTACAGTAGCAAGTTTCTCAATGTACTCATCAGGGGCTCCGAGGGAGGCAAGACCGATTTCCTGTACAAGGAACCAAAGCATATGGATTAGAAAATGAAAAGTTACAGAATCGCATTTGTTTAAGATAACCTTTCACTGATCCTCTGAGGGATGCTATATTCCAGGAATGTAAAGATATATTGCAATACAAATATGTGAAGATTCAAATTGGTGATTTGCATTGTTTTGCACAGTTTATATCCTGCCTTAGAAATAAAATAGGAGTATTCAATTTGATAAAGAAAATATTACGTAGATTTTTGTCTCGAAAATAAACGAATCCTAATTTGTCTTCATTAAACATAGATTCGATATACAGTATATATATCAATGAGCAAAACCAATACTGCAGTTTTCTGCTATTACATATTATATAGTCAATATATATGAGATGCATAATAGGTATTTTTGCTACTTTTGGTGCAATGCTTAAAGAAATCTATAATGAGCTTACTGTTTTATTTATGTTTTTGTATTATTGTCACTGTTAGGACACTTAGTTACCTGTGAGAATTGGGCAAAACTAGGGTCAGCAAACAGTGGAACGTGTCCCAGGAGCTCATGGCAGATATCCCTGCATTAGAAATAAATAAATAAATAAAAAAAACCACTCCTTAGCATCACAAAAATAATGTATTTTTCCTCCTTTTTTGAAATTGAGTCCAGACACTCACGGCTCAGGTGTGTATGTGGGCTTGGAGCTGTGACGAATGTACTGCGTGGAATGAAAGACTCGGAAGGCGAGGCCAGCCAGGAAGTCCCGGGACGAGAGGAGGCCGGCTACCGGGCGAAGCCGGAAGCCTGTGCACGCTGCAGGAAAAGGACGGAGAGATGAAAGAGGTGAGTGTTGAATAAGAGCAGCTAGTGAGGGGCGGGGAGGGAGGAATAGGAAGTAGGGTGTTTGAACAGGTCCTCCCTCCCACATTCAGGCCCCAGGGTTTCCAAAAAGAAATGAATGACACGATTTTGGTGCTAGAACTGGAAAAGAACATTAAAATAATGCTAATTTTCTAACTTTCTTTAACTTTCATTAAAACAAAATCTAATGTTCACCCATTTTAACATTTAAAATGATGACAGAGTATTAGGGCCACAGTCAATACTGCACAATTAAACAGAACTAAAAATAATACACGTCATCCGCGGTCAGTTACAAGACAGGACTTACACTGCAGGAAGCGGGAGACGTCCTCTAGCTGTGGGATGTTGTCCTGCCTGTAGCCGCAGTATTTCTCCAGCAGGGGGAAGACCCGGTTGTGTTCGCGGCAGGCGTGAGTCGGGTACAGACTCTTCAGCTCCTTGAACACCATGCCCCATGTGACCCTTTCCTCCTCTGTGTACTCCACTCGAGGGATGGTTTGACCACTGAGACAAAAACATGACGTTATTGTTTAAGTTTGTGTAAGAATGTATGAATGCTTTGGTTTGTGGCATTCTGTGCTATATGTACTTACTACCTATAAAATGAAACATTAAATAAACAAACAAATACAGTATTCAACATTAAAGAGAGATAAATGATTCCATACTAGGGTACCAAAAGTCTCCATTGAAAACAAGGACAATTTCATTGTTGTTTGGGTTGAGCTCACACTGTCTGACTCTTTAAATAGTGATTTTAAAGATTTTCAAAATTAAAATGTTTCCCATATGAATTATTTTTTTTAGTGTAAATTAGCTTTATCCGTTATTATGTAGTACATACAGTATTTAATATTTTAAGCTTGGCTTAATAGAGCGTAATAGCTTAGCCAGTTTTGCCTAATTACATATATACAGTTAATATTGTCCATTAGTCTATTTCTTGAAAATAATTATGCTATTTGGTACTTACTGGAACAGATTGAAAGTACCTACTCGTTTATTTGAGTTTTGAACTGCTAATGGTTTCATTTAAACACACACAAGTATTAGATTATTATAAATTATTACTTTATTCTTGTCATATCTTATTCTTTTTTTTATTGTATGGTTGCTTATAGACACATTTTTACATTTTTGCATGTTCAAGTAACCGTCTGTGTGTAGGTTAAAGCATTAATTGGGATTATATAATTGGAAATATCAGGAATCGTCCTGCTGCTTTACACTACACACCACAACAACATTTTTCTCCAAACATACTGCTCACCCTGTCTAATTAACATGTTTAAATTGTTGGTTGAGTTTCTTTTTTTCCCAAAATTCCCCGTGACGACAGAGTGCATGAGCACAGCATTATTTGCCAGTATTGCAGTATTACACAGCTATGTAAATGTGAACCACCACAGTGGGCATTTCATGGGGTTTGGCGCTCTTTGTAGTGCCTGCGAATAATACTTCTCAATTATACACACAAAGACCAAGGCCCTTTAAATCCACCATTGACTGCCTGTAATTTGTTCCTATTGGTTTATGATAATTTTCACTCAGATATAAAAATTTTATAACCATGACTTCTTTCCAGACTTGAAAAACACACCAAAATATGAGCTGGAGTTTAAAAATAAAGATTCTTAGGAGCAGTTACTGTCTGTAGTTGTAGGCGATGTCTGCAAACTCCTTTCTGCGGGCTCTGTAGACTGGATCTGTGAAGCCCTAAACACACACACACACACACACACACACACACACACACACACACACACACACACACACAAAGAAAAGCCATGTTAGATCTCATGATCGCAGCCCGACCACTCACAGCTAAATCAAAGAGTGGAAATCCTCTGCTGAGGCTAAACCCTGTGGCCTTTGACAGCATTATGCACTCCGTCTCTAATAAGAGCATGCAAATACATATTCAAATGAAGCCTTTGTAGAGTGTGTTTCAGCTTATGATGAATACATTTTGCTTTAATGGCGGTGGCAAAAGGGAGCAATTATCTATAATTATAGGGGCTCAATTAAAGCAATGACATCAATTTGTGTGTCTAGATAGTTTCCATTAGAATAGACGGCAGAGTGCAGCCTGTCATCTCCACAGCCTCGTCTTTCATAAGACATGTGGGCGTGAGTGGACACGTATTCACACACAAACACACACACACACACACACACACACACACACACACACACACACACACACACACACACACACACACACACACATGCAGAGGCAGGATGTGGCACACAGACAGTGATGGATGAGTCAGTCCTTACCGGGTGATCAGCATCCAGCTCTGAGCCATAGCTGAGGATCTGGTTGGCAAAGCGGTCCAAGTCCTGGATGTCATTAGGGAACCACGGCACTGGAGAATAATAACAGTTATTAAACAGTGATAATCTGTGTTTTTATTCAACATGCATTCATTCAGGTCAAATGAATTAAGCATTCTTTCCATAAACACAAATGTAAGAAATTCTGTTTATTTTTTAAGGCAGAATAAGTGATTAGTCATTCTATATTGTATCAACAGAAAAGGTACTTTTTGATAATGCCTTATTTACTTAGATACTTTTCCGAACAAAAATGGCAATTCAATACATGTACAAAATACAAAAACCAAACATGGATCAGGGTGTGACGTCTTGGGCTGAAATGTCCGACGGACAAAGAGAGCGATGTCTGATTTAAGCGCACGCTTATCGTCATCATGATTAGCATTTCTAAATCTCATCTGAGACACTGTATACAACCACACTTACAACAAATGAGTAAAAAACAAGAATGGAGTATTTTAACCGAAACACAATGCACACTGGCAGATGTGCTAGTAAGCTATCAGTGTTTCTAAACACCTCAATTTAGCGAGTTAAGCGAACGACAAGCTGGAGATTGATTCAGCATTGAATAAGTCCTGAAATAGTTTCACAATTAAAGAGCAGAAATTACCAGGACTGTATCACTTTGTAATGAATCACAGCTAGAGATCATGGCAAGAAACTGACTTGGTTTGGTACTTATAAACAATTTGTATTGTTTGTGTAGGATTTGCTACTTTTTTATCTTATCTTATGTTTTATATGATTGTAAACTGAATATTTATGGATTTTGGACTGTTGGTTGGACTAATTTAGACGTTTGAAGACATAATTTTGGCTTATCGACAATGAAAATAACTGTTGCAGCACAGATATTGTATAATTCTTGATTGATATAAATGAGTAAAATGCAAATTGATGTTGTAGAAAATGTTTTGCCTATAGAAATTTTTTTTCAGTGCCATTTTGACACAGCAGAACAGTAATCAAGGGTCATCTGCTTGTTCATATGGATTTATGACACTGGGGCCCACACCATTAATCCACATTTGTGCAGTGTGGTCCAGCCTGAGGCCCCAGGAAGACAATATGTCCCTGCCAGGCTCCTCTATAAACAGGCAGTCTCCAAAACAGGCCATAAACATCCCCTCGTCCACTTGACCCTGACCAGCAGACCACAGTGTCTACACTGAGGTCAAAGGAGGATCCATGGTGGCCCTGTCTGTCTCTGCCTGCTGTGACCTTGGCATGTTCTCCTGCCCTGTGTTAGTCTGCAACCAGGACACAGAGTTCCTCTGTTTCTGCCTAGCCTGTTGTTCCTCAGTAGCTAAACTAATGTCATTCTGGAAACAACTAATAAAGGGGTCGAGATATGGGCGATTGGCCATCCGTCTCATCGGCGACGCTGGCTGTCCATTACCCAGTCTGGCTAGAGGGTCATAAAGCGGCAGCCGACATTGTGCTCAGTTGATAAATGGACCATTTCATCTGAACTGATCTTCATGTTATTTGATTTTTTTAGCAACACTAGCTGTGTGGCTCTGTCAGTCAGTCAGTCTGTCTGTCCACCACTTTGGCCCTGACTGATATATCTTCACAACAATTTGAGTGATAATTTTTTTTTACAGACATTCATGGTCCCCAGAGGATGAAGGATGTTGGTGAGCCCCTTACGTTTCTTCTAGTGCCACAATGAGATTGACCGTTTAGTTTTTTTGTCAAATGCCTCAACAATAATTGGATGAATTGCCACGAAATATAGCACAGGCGTGCATATTCCCCAGAGGATGGACCCTAATAATGTTGGTGATCCCCCGACTTTTCCTCTAGCATCACCAGAAGGTCAAAAGTTTCATTTATGCAGAAAAATATGTCTTAATCTACTGGATGGATTAGCAGGAGATTTGATAAAGATATTCCTTATCCCCAGAGGATGAACCCTATTGACTTGGGTGTCTCCTTTACTTTTACTCTAGTGCCACAATCAAGGTGACATTTGTGGTTTTCACTGAAATATCTTGACAAATATTTGACTTTTTACCATGAAATGTGGCACACACATTCACATTCTCCTGTAATAACTTCTCCTAGCTTTTCATGTAGTGTCAGTTACAACCTGCTAAACTAATGACATTCCCATCAGCCTCAGCTGTACTTCATGTTCAGTGCTAGTTAAGAGGGTATCTATGTAGTCTATGGATCTAATAACCTGGACAAAAAAGTTGCAATACTCCTTCAAGTTGAGGAACAATTTTGAACAAAATAACTGCAGATCGAAATGATTTTACTATAATAAATCAGATTAATGTGGATAAAGGGGCGTCTGCAGATTGTATCTAATTTAATTTATTGCTTATTTTATGTGACTACGTACTATGTTTTCAGAGAGTACACTGATACAAACTGTCCTCAACCTTAAAACAAAGAGCTAAACAATCAACAACATGGTTGACATTTTATTCTAATTGAAAACACAGATCCTCTCCCATGTGGAGCATGTCATTTTTTTTGTTTTCATCGTGTTGAGGATACATGCTCATCTTGTTCAGAGTGCATCCTCGCACAGCAATTAGACACACTCACTAACCTGTGTCCTTCTCTTTGTTGCGTGATAGCTCATGCACGTGGCCGCTGATTTGTGTACGCAGGCCGTCGATGACCTCGTCCAGGGCCTGGGAGCAGGTGGAGTCCACGCTGATGAAGAACTCGTATTGGTCTTTGTTCATCCGCGACGGACGGGACTCAATGTGCGTCAGGTTGATGCCCTTCTCCTGCGGCCCACAGAAATGAAGAAAAAGAAGAAGAAGAATAGACCTTGGTGAGACCTGAGTTGATATTTGTTTGTTTTAAAGAGCTCTATGTCAAATCTGTTGGTCTCCAACAAATTACATAAAAAGTAATGTAATTTGTTGCAAAAGGTTAAACGAAGTGGAAAAATAAAAAATACATGCATGTTAGATCGATAACAGTGAATGTTTTTGCTGCAACAGGCTGCAGCACAGCATTCGTTCCACCACTAGAGGGCGTTGTGCTGTCACTTCATCGATGGCTATTGATCAGATTCACCACGATAACCTCGGGTCAGAGCTGCCTTGAACTCTCTCTCTCTGCAAACTGAAACTGAGCCAGCGAGACTGGACTCACATACTAAAGCTACTCAGGACATATTGTGGTGATTTTGTGCGAAAACGTCAAATAAATCATCCTGCCCTGCCAGCATTTATTCTCCTCTCATTCTGCAGAATGAACACAAGAGCCTTGGGATGTTTCCAAACTTATTTGGATGCAACTCACAAGCTCTTGATGTCCAAAATGCAGAGAGGCTCCAGCTCGTGCTGGAGACCGTGACTATCTTTAAGTGGCAATTACCATAAAAAAGTTTTTGTTTTCGTAACTTTGGGGCGGGAGAGGGAGTGTGTTGTTCTCTGTCTACTATAGGCTAAGTTAAGAGGAGGGCGTGAGCAGCAGGGCCTCCCGTTTTCTCCCATCTGGATCCCATTCTACATATAACAGCTTTTTTAAGGGCCATATGGTCCCGCATCCCCCAGGAATGACTATAGGATTGACGAAGGACTGAGACCAGGTTGGCATTTCAAAGAAAAGATGACTTGCTATTTATGATGTGCCGTTATCTGTTAACAGTCAGCAGATTTACTGTAGCTTACAAAGAATATCAAAGAAAAACGATTAAAATTCTCAATTATTCCACTTAATGACTGTAATAATTCCCCATAAATACAAAATATGATCTATAAAACCATTATGTAAGTAAAACCCATTGTTTCCCTCTTTTAAATATATGCCAGTTACAAAGGAAATAGATGCAAATATATTAGACAATTACACTTTTATTATTAATAATAATAATACAATAAACATTTTTAGAAAATTGAGATATGGATTGTGCAAAAGGGGCTGCATCTAAATATGTAATGATAAGTGTAAATTCAATGCATTAACAACAATGAACTTTGGGTTTCTGCGGTCAAAATAACATTAGGTGATTTTATCAGTTTTGGAAACATCCCTGCTCTTAGAAAATAAGCTCAAAAGGTTCAATAATATCACTGTTTCTGTGCACAAAATCCTTCGAAATCCTTCAACATGTGTGCTACTAGTGACCTGGCCCAGCTTAACATAGCCAACCCAAAATCCTAAACCCAACAGGATGCAGGGGTCATGTTGTCAGATTTCTGTACCCCTCTGAGCCGTCCCTCCACTGTAAGCCAGGTGACATTAACCCCCCTGTCGCCCAGGCTGAGGCACAAGGTCAAGGTCGGCCCGTGGCTCTGAATCGTCACATGATAACCACACCGCCGTGTCACATGCGCTTTGAGTCCCAGGCGGACAAACAGTCTGGCAGTTTTCACGTTCACATTTTCTGAAGTACGGAGCTTAGACGTTCACAAGATGAAAAATGAACACGTGATGGATGCTGCTCGGCTAAATGTTAGCACATGGTTCGATGGCGTTTTTCAGCCACAGAGCAGAAAAACAAGGACGTACTGCAGCGTGTTCTCTTTAAAGCGGTGTTTTTATGTGTTACATTGCTGTGAGGGAGGGGTGTGGGTATGTTGATGGTTTGGGGGTCATTTGGCCTGTTTTATAAAACAGCTGGAAAGTAGAAGACAGGAGGAGGAGGAGGGGGGTGGAGCAGGGGGAGGATCGGGAAAATGCAAGCTCATAGGTTCAAGAGGATCCTGATGTTTACTGCTGCATTTGGAAAGCAGCATTTGGCACATACTTGATGTATCGAACGGGGCTAATCCACCCACAGCTCCACCCCCTGCATATGGCCGAGAAATGTTTTTCTTTAACCTAAAACATCTTTTATCTCGAGATGTTTTGCACATTTTGGAACTGTTTTTCTTTCCAAAAGTTCAGCAGACCTAATCTATGCTTTGGCTGCAAGAAGAGCAAACCTGAACCTTGATATGACGTCCATGTTGAAGATTAAACAATGGAGGTGCTGCCAATCTGTGTTTACTTCAAGGCCTGTCACGTACTCACAGGCAGATTTAATCAATAAAAGAGAATAGAACACAGCACGCACATTAATCAATGACCTTCTTGTGGTTGCATGCTTTCAGATCCTTAACTCAAATGAGCAGAACCATATTGTAGAAGAACTCGCATTGTATCTACTCGATTCAAATTTAAGTATTATCAGAGAAATGTACTCGAGTATCGGAAGAAGATCCCATCAGTGTGTTGGATTTCAGTTTATTCATCACAGGCTGTGAAAACCTTTGTACATTGTATTCTGTGGCTTTGAAGTGAGCTTTGGGAAATTAAAAAATAACCCTGATGTTGGTGATGATGGATTATCTTGGTTTGGGCTTGAGTCTTACATTTTTACTCCTCATTAAAGTCTGCATTACAAACTGGAGGTGTGGAGATTTAAAGATGTGGGCTTTTTTGGAGGAAAGCAGAGTCTAAGGCTGCATTCCAGTCAAAGTTTGAATATTCCAAGTTGTAATTTCCAGCTTCCGAACCTCTAAGCGATCCGGGTGCACGACGCCAAACATTAACAAAAAACATGGCTAACCGTTACAAACTGATGTTCCTTTGGCAAGTGTACACACAAGTGAACTCTCAGCAGTGCAGGCTCTTTGTATAAAGCAAACAGAGGGGGGAATAACAATGGAAGAGGTAACAGATGCCATATTATTTTATTTTTATACTTTTCATTCTAAGGTATCAAAATGTTCTATTCACCAGCCAAATACAAACACTGTATTCGACAAATCCATCCTAGATGAATTTGGTGTGCCATTGTAATTTTTTCTAATAAGAGGCTGGAAATGTTCAAGTTCTGAGTTGTCTGGAATGCACCATAATTACAGACACCATAAGAGTTGCATTATGGGAAATGTAGGATCCTTATAGGGACTAAAAGGCAGGATCTTGGCCTCGGCTCCTTTTGATTTTGATCTTTAAAAACTTTTTTTTCACATGATTCCTCCAACTTTCTGAAAGTGCAGCATCCCTTTAATATTGCAGCGGGTTATGGTGGATTCAGTTTAACCACTTTATATAATATTGGGTTGTTTAATCTTTGGCCATGTATCATTTTATAAGGTGATAAATACTGCTGTTCAGTAACAAAGTATTCAACAGTGCTACAATAAGTATTTTTTTATTAAACTGTCAAGTATTTTAACTATTATAAGTAGAAATTTTAAATATAAATAAAAATGCTCCAGTAAAGTGCAAATACAGTACTCTAGTGAATGTAATATACTTATTTTCCACCTCTGTGGACTCCAAGCGAGAGATCACCTGTTTTCAAAATTTTTGAGCAGTCCAGTTTTCATTATTATAGAAACCTTGGAGGTGGAGGAGGAGGTTAGTGATTGAAAGAGCCGCCTGTCATGTTTGCACATGACTGATACACAAACATCTGAGATAAGCTCAGTTTGTTTGGTCTCCGTCTTTAAAAGTCCATAAAAGGTCACGAGCACGAAACAACTACAGATAATAATGATAACCTACTTTTGTCTGTTAGAATTAAAATGCTGAAATGGTGAACTAGATGTTGTAATACTGGAATATATTAATATCTTAACAATGTTAAATAAATGCACTGTTCGTACAGCTTGTTTTGTTTGATGTTAATCAGTAACTTCAACTATGAACTTAAATGAACTGAGAATTCAACCAGGAGCCAGCTTAGCTTAGCATAGCATAGCATAAAGACTGGAAACGGCTATCTTGACTCTTTCCAAAGGTGACAAATCTACCTGACAAGTACCTCTAAAGCTCCCTGATTAACATGGTATTACATGTTTTAATAATATTAATTATACATTAAATGGATTATGTGGATTTAATTCCCATTTAATAGAGCCAGGCTAGCTGTTCCCCCCCTCTTTCCAGTCTTTATGCTAAGCTATAGCTTCATATTTCACAGACAGACATGAGCGTTGCTTCCATCTGCTCAGCAAGACAAGTGAATAAGTTTATTTCCCAAAATGTGAAGCTATTTATTTAAACTTCCAGCATATTTAGTCTCTTTTGTACTCTTTAATTATCTGGAAAATGGTCTTTTGTGGCTTCCTCTGACTCATTCATTTCTAAATTGTTTAATTTAAAACAACAGAGATAATTAGTTTGAGGTTAGATGTACAGACAATCTTAGCCACTAGAAGAAAATTCTTAAAATGTGTTTTTAACTATCATTATGGAGTGGTTAGTGGATTAGTAGCATTCCTGCATCCTCTGATTGGTGTTGAACTGCAACCTCCTGAACAAATGGAACTGTATGTACGTCAGCTGTCGGTCAGAAAATGTACCTCAAAGAGCCGCAGGCCCCTGGCCAAAGCTCCGACCTCCTCTTTCAGGGAGAAGATGCAGGAGATCACTTCTGACTTCTTGTCGGTCTCCTCCTCCAGATACATGGATCCCCTTCTCCTCTGCAGAGAGACACATTTCAGGAAACAACAGGGCTTAAAGGTGGAGTCGTACACAAATTACGGGTTCTCTTATGTGCATTTTTTACACAAGTTGATTCTCAGGGGAGCAGCTAATACTACAGTTACTGCAGAGACTACATAATAAATCACTTTAATAGTTTATCTTGATCTCCTTGTGATAAAACACACGTTTTAAACCCATAAATCTAGGGGCTGAATGGGCTGCAAAGCTTTCAAAACACCACAGTTGTGAGAAACAAGATTTTCTAATCACTCTATTGCTGTTTGATCTGGGTTTGTGTGTCTGCGTTTGAGCACAGCAACATGTACGAGGCATGAAATCCAACTGAAAGCTATGACATTCCGCATTTAAGGATCTTATAGCTCCAAGCTTTCACACCTTTAACCTTTTGACACGGACCTTTGCCGCAGTAGTGACCACATGCTCTGCACATTAGAGGATTTTTTTTTTAAACACTGGAGAAAAACAACATGAACTCATCGAAAAATGTCCTCTGCAGGTGTGTCACAGCAGAGCAGAATATATTACAGATGTAGAAATTCCTGCACAGTCCAGATTGCTGTTTATTAACTTCAAGAGCAGTGCACAGATTGTTTTAATATGTAAACAGAGGGCTTTTATTGGTGCTACAACTGACATTGATTTTCACTTATTAATTATTTGTTTTCACTATAAAATGACTAGAAAATAATGAAAGATAAGTTTCCCAGGACCTAAAAGGTGACATCTTGCTTGTTTTGTTGAATCACTAACCCAAAGACACTTTATTTATCTTTGACATAAGACAAAGAAAAGCAGGAAATCTTCATATTTTAGAAGCTGGAACAAGGTATTTTCCCATGAAATATGACTTTGATTAATTGATTAATAGTTGCATTATTATATTCTTTTCATCCAGGCTACTTATATTTTTTCTAAATCATTTATAATTTGTCTTTTTGCAGGGTCCATATTTTTGCTATGACAGCACTATTGTCCATTTTTCTGTAACATAAGCTCCCCCCCACCCCCATTCAAATCAGTCAGGCAACTTTGCACTTCCCTGCTTTGTCTGCTGTACTACCTGGAATATTCCAGCTACCTCTGCTCTGTCGCTGCATTAAAACACACATATTTGATGTAGTAGATGGAACATTATATTCAATAATTTGCTTTTTTGTGTGCTTAAAGTGAGCATATCATGACAAAGGAGCACAAATAAGTTGATTAATTTGTTATTAGAAATACAAAAAAAAAGTTTTGAAGTTACAGATCAGGTGTCAGATTTACCCCTGTGCCTTGGTCCCCTTTCTCTGCATCTGGGCCGTAGCTTCCATTCACTTTCTTGTATGCTGCGTCCATCCTCTCGCTCTTCAGGTGAACAACCGGTGTGTGTGCAGATGCTGGACTGCGGTGCAGTTTGTGTGAGCAGCTCCTGTTTATAAAAACCTCTCCGTTTTCAACGGCGGGGGCCACGTGACACCCCCCCCCCCCACCCCCTTCTGCATCGGTATGTCACGGGACGGTTGTTGTGAAACAGAATTACAATGGCACATCTGGTTCTTGTTGTCCACCGCTGGGTTGAGGTTGCCCCCGGGTATGATAGGCTGGTTTTCAGATGGAACTTTTTTTTTTTTTCTTTTTATTACAGCAATCATCATGGTGCCTGTTTGTGTTTGTGCAGCCTCACAACAGGTAGAAGTTATGTAGAGAATCGACTTGGCTGTGTGCGTAAAACTAACAAATATGGGACACAGGGGATGGTTGTAGGCCTTGCACTTTTTTGTCTGTAACTCAAATCACATATTTTTGGCACAAAGTAGACCCTTATTTGTTTATTAAATGGCAATTAGCCCAACTATATCACATCATTTATGTCAAATACAGAAGTTGCTCTGTTACCTGCCCCATAAAACATCCACCCACCCTAACAAATGATTTTCTCCCATATGACCCGCGCTTGCATGGACATTTCCCTCCACCTCCACCAGTCCATCTAGGCTATATTACCCCTTCAGTTATGTCTATAGCAGCACGAGCTATCCCGTGATTTGTTGATTGTATGTTGTGTCGGTGAATCCTATGATTATTTTTCAGAAATTGAATGATTAGAGAGGCTGCTTTCAGTCATTGTAATCGTTTCCATGCGCAATGAGCCTCATGTCACAGCAAATAAACCAGCAACAAAACAAAACTTTTCAAAAAAAAGGTTGTATGCATTTAAAAACGTGACAAAGGAAACTATGATTTTAAAATATAATAATAATATACATTCTAGTTATTCTTATTATTTTACAAATATGTAGGTCAGGATTTATAGGAACTTGACTGTGTGTGTGTGACGTGAATGTGTACACAGAACATTTATTAACATTTGGCCCTGACAGACTCTGTCAGTGTGTCACATTTAAATAATCAATAAAGTTAAGCGTAAATGCGCACAGACGCTTCACCTTATTTCACCCCGCCAAAGATCCGCTATATCAGTCAGGTTGTTAATTGTCATGACCTGATTATCCGAGGTGGATTAACCGCGCAAAATTGATTCCACACCAGAAAAAAACAATTGATAACCAATCAGCCCATGTTCTCTTCCCATGACTTAGGGTGTTTGGTGTTCTATGTTAAAGAAAGTAAAAATAATAGCCCTAAATAAAAAAAACTGATAGGCTACACTATAGTAACCAATTCCTACTTAAGCCTAACTTGCTTAACTTAGGTCAAGCTGTATTCACAGTCTTCACTTGATTTTTTGTTATTTAATGAGTATTTCTTCTTTTCTTATGTGCTGTGTTACACCTGGAGCTGCTGTAACAATTGAATTTCTCCAGTGTAGGATCAATAAAGTCTATTTTTTATATTTATCTTTTTTTTTTATAAACAGCCTCATCCAAACAACCAAAGAGCTAACAGAACAATGAGAAGAAAACACTGAATCTGTTTAAAAAGAAGCCTATTAAGTATGTATGAGTGTTAAAAAATAAATAAAATACATAATACAGACAGAGAATTGTATAATATATATGTATAAATATTCGCAGTAAAGTCATCCAAATTTCTTGTTTTACACAAACTTTCTGCAGTTATTGTGTTCTCTGTTTGAGTTCATTGTGCAGTTTATTTGTTGTTATTGAGTATAATATGAAATATGGCACTCATTAAGGGGTCCTCACTTAACTCAAGGGGTCCATTTTAGGGAAAAAAGTTGAAAACCACTGCTATAGTGGAGTGAGTCCAAAATACAAAATTGGCAGCCTCTTAATCAGCCGTTAAGTACAAAGATTTAAGTCAAAATTCTAACTTTTATTTATTTATTTATTTATTTTCTACCTTAAACTCCAATAAATGTTTCATATTTGGCCCTAATCCTCTTCTGTAGATTGATCCTTGGGTTGTAAATTCTTGCTGTATCTGCTCAACCATCCCCTGGCTCCTCTAAATATCAGTACAAACATATAATTAATGTACAGTACTATGAGCTGAAATGCTTATATCAGCATGCTAACGTACAGCCAGATTAGTCTACTGTAAGTAAAGGTCCAGATTTAATGGTGTCTTCTTCCAAGTGAAAGAGAAACTAATGGTTTGTCCCTTTTGGCCTAACTGTAGAAACATGGCAAACTGCATTGAAGGCGACCCCCGGGGGTCGTAGATACTAATGGCTCATACTAAGGTAACAAAAACATAATTATTCTTATATTCCGGTGTTTATTATAATACATAATTTTATATTTATTTTTTCAGACAGCATGTAAAGATACATAAGGAATAAAGACAGCAGTGTAATAATATCTATACATATTTGAGCCTTTACAGGTGTGCACGTCCATTTGTCCTTTGGAAAATGGATTTACCAGTTTGTGCCACAAGGTGTGGCCAAAATCCACTGTGGTCAAGGTGGTTTCAGAGACTTTCCTCCACAAACAGGCCACAATGTGTGTGTCTGCAAATTCTGAATTTGTTTCTCATCGCTGTCTCAGGTTCATCTCTTGGCTGTATATCATATACTTTGGCATAGTAAGATCAAAATCATTATTTTATATTCAAATGTAATTGTTAAAAGAATGCACTTTGGCAGTCAAAGGCTGGTAACGGAGAGGGTTTCCATTAGAGTCCTATAAAGAACACAAACCAAATTACATTTATTATTTATTCAATTTAATTAATTTAAAGTGAAAGCTAAGCATCTTTTTAATATCCTCAATCAGCAGAAGCCTGGATGACAACCAGAGAGAAGACAAACATGGCCTATTGGATGCTACAAGTGGCTTGAAGAACTCCAGCACCTGTTTCTGTTCTCATGAAGTCTCATCAGAAAGTTCCTGCGATCCCGACTCCTGCTTTTAGTATGATGAACTGAGGTGGTCGTATGGAGCATGTATACAGGTTTTAAAATCTAACAATAGAGAATGACAGTAGACTATAACAGCTCTATAAAAGTTTTAGTTGAACACAAAGACTTCTAAGATATTGTATATGTGATCTATTTTGTGTCATGCAGAAACTCAGCACCTCCCTAAAACAAATCAATTAGGTTGGGAATTACGCCGGACAAACAAACAAAACAGCACCACAACTGTACTGGAAAACAACAGCCAGGCTAAAACTGCTAAGACTTCAATTTTAAATTGCAGCTATATTAATATTGAAGCTGTGTAAAAACTCCCAGGAGGTCAGACAACACATTTCTGTTTGTTGAAATCACACCTGACACGGAGGAGATCTACAGGTGCCACATGAGGGCAGTGTAGGTTTGGTAATGTTGAGAGAGCCAGCAGACAGAGAAACATGAAATCCAGTTGTTGAAAACATTTTCAAACAGTATTAACCCTGTGAATGAGTGACTTTTTCCCAAATAAACTTACGACAGTAAGATATTGTAGTTGATGCTATCAGGTAGAATATTTTATCTAAAGTAATAAACTGAAAGTACAGTTTTATTATGGGAAACCCCAATAGGAATTAAATGCTTCACTATTATGGTTTTTAGTATAATGCCCAACTGAGCAACATGTTATCCAAATAAGAGTGCCCCAGTAGCTGAATAGTTAAAGCACTTACCATACAGTGTTTGTTTACATGTCTTACCCCTCTCACTCCCCTTGTTTCCCATCGACCTCCACTCACCAAAGAACAAAAATGCCAACATAACGATGTAAATAGATTTATTTTTGTTGTTGCGCTGTAAAAAACACAATTAAAGTAAAAATAGGGTGAGATGATTCAGTATAATATTCCAGGTTATATTAATAGGTAGCAATAGACACAGTACACAAATCAATTAGTTTTATGTAACTTCTGGAATGTCTTTAAAGGTTGTTATTAGTGGTATTATATATTTGTATCATGTGTACTTCTGTTATACTGAATTATTATTTATTTATTCTGTGTTAAAGCTGTTTAAAAGAAAATGCAAAGTTCCATTCTTACTTGAGTAGACAGTTAGAGCTGCAGTTATCAATATTTTTACAGTAACAATGGGTCAAATGCCGTCTGTTGTACTGATAAACCCACATAGAATTATTGCCAACTCTGCACATCCCTTTATCGTAGCTCTACACATCATTGTAGTGTCTTTCTGTGTATAGTTTTGGTTTTTTGGCTCCAACTTTAAAGCAGCTAACAAGCTCTGATCAACTTTAGGAGGTAATAATATATCATTGTTGTATTCACAGCGTGTCCCTCTGCCAAAAGCAGTTGGCAAAATATCAATTAATACCTCTTTAAATTGAATAATAAATGTTGCACTGCCTACTAGCCTGGCTGAAAGGCTCACAGACATACTGTAGCGGACACTTTTCTCTCGCAAAGAACTCATAATGGGCCACTGTATGTATGTGTCGTCTGCTTGCGGTCAGTAATTTGCAGATGATGACGTGATGTCACATAAAAAAACTCCCAAGGTCCTCTTCATATTGTACAGTGGATGGAGAGCTCCCCACTGCGTCATTTACTGTCATTAATGGTGATGGAGACAATTGCTCATTTATCAGGAGAAGTGGTGCAGTGTGCGTCTACAATGGCCTCCTCCATAGGGCCTCAGTCTTATTCACACACTGAAGATCCATTCTCACACTAATGATTAGCCAGATGCGAGTCAGTTTTACAGCCTGATGGGTTCAGGCTGCTAGGAATGAGCTCTTTTACACGGCTGCAGCTGTCCCCGTTTAAAAGGGGGAGAAAAAAAAAAATTGTTTTGTCACGATTATGCAACTCCAGCTTTTTTCATAATTATTGTTGTGAAAAAGTGCAGTCGGACGTGGAAAACCGGCTTCAGCACAGAGCATTGCTGTACAGGAGGACTAGCAGGGGTGCTTAGAGATGATAATCTGTTATAGAGTTGTGAGGTTCCTAATTGTGCTTTCATGAGATGTCGTTGATTAATGGACTAGTTGACAGACATCCTGTGAATGTTGTCCACATGTGCACTGTCCACAGGGGTGCTGAAGACTCCACTCC